TCCCTCAAGAAGCTTACAGTCCTATGTTATACTTTGCATACAGTCACGCATACACATCCTAGGGCCAATTTACCTAGCAGCATGTCTTTGAAGTGAAAGCAGAAACCCAAGTAATAACAAAGAAAACATGCACATTCCATGCAGACAGAGTCCTGGTATTCAAACTAGGGATCCCTGTGTTGCAAGGCAGAAGTGCTGACCACTAAGGCTGGAATCACACCGATGCACTCTGGTTTGGGTGCAGCGCAACTGTATCCACCAGGGGCGGACTGACCATTTGGAAACTCGGGCACTGCCCGAGGTCAGTAGGGGGCCCAATGAGATGCCCCTGGTACCTTTTTCATAGGCTTTTTTTGAGTTTGGGCAAGGACACAGGGGCCCCATGATCCCCTATTGCCCTGGGGCCCCATGAGTTGTCAGTCCGCCCCTGGTATCAACTTTTTCGGTGTGAGCCCAGTGGGAACCCAACCTACAGCTGACCAAAGATGGATCAAAATTCGTCCAGTTCAGCAGTGGGACAGTCACCTGCTGATCCAACAAGATTTTCTACTTTGAAAAGATAAAAACTAAAAGCATCTACTGAATGTCTGCTCCAGGAATAAAATCCTTCGCTTTAGATGGAAACGTATTCAAGCAAAAAGTTTGCTTAAAACTCTTTTTAAAAAGCTAGCAATCTGGGAGGATGCAACTATACTACCAGGCCTTGAAAAGGTATTCATACCCCTTTAAATTTTCCACATTTTGTCATGTTACAACCAAAAATGTAAATGTATTGTATTGGTATTTTATGTGATAGACCAACACAAAGTGGCACAAAATTGCGAAGTGGAAGGAAAATGATAAATGGCTTTCCAAATTTTTTTACAAATAAATATCTGAAAAAAGTGTGGTGTGCATTTGTATTCAGCCCCCCTGAATCAATACTTTGTAGAACCTCCTTTTGCTGCAATTACAGCGGCAAGTCTTTTGGGGTATGTCTCTACCAGCTTTGCAAATCTAGATAGTGAAATTTCTTCCCATTCGTCTTAGGAAAATAGCTCAAGCTCTGTCAGATTGGATGGAAAGTTTCTGTGAACAGCAATTTTCAAGTCTTGCAACAGATTCTCAATTGGATTTAGGTCTGGACTTTGACTGGGTCATTCTAACACATGAATATGATTTGATCTAAACCATTCCATTGTAGCTCTGGCTGTATGTTTAGGGTCATTGTCCTGCTGGAAGGTGAACCTCCGACCCAGTCTCAAGTCTTTTGCAGACTCTAACAGGTTTTCTTCTAAGATTGCCCTGTATTTGGCTTCATCCATCTTCCCATCAACTCTGACCAGCTTCCCTGTTCCTGCTGAAGGAAAGCATTCCCACAACATGATGCTGCCACCACCATGTTTCACGGTGGGAATGGTGTGGTCAGGGTGATGTGCAGTGTTAATTTTCCACCACACACAGCATTTTGCTTTTAGGTCAAAAAGTTAAATTTTGATCTCATCTGACCAGAGCACCTTCTTCCACATATTTGCTGTGTCCCCCACATGGCTTTGCACAAACTGCAAATGGGACTTCTTATGGCTTTCTTTCAGCGATGGCTTTATTCTTGCCACTCTTCCATAAAGGCCAGATTTGTGAAGTGCATGACTAATAGTTGCCCTGTATATAGATTCTCCCACTTGAACTGTGGATCTCTGCAGCTCCTCCAGAGTTACCATGGGCCTCTTGGCTGCTTCTCTGATTAATGCTCCTTGCCTGGCCTGTTAGTTTAGGTGGATGGCCATGCCTTGGTAGGTCTGCAGTTGTGCCATACTTTTTCCATTTTCAGATGATGGATTGAAAAATGCTCGGTGAGATGTTTAAAACTTGGGATTTTTTTTGTATAACCTAAGCCTGCTTTAAACATATCCACAACTTTATCCCTGACCTGTCTGGTGTGTCCCTTGGCCTTCATGATGCTGTTTGTTCACTAATGTTCTCTAACAAACCTCTGAGGGCTTCACAAAACAGCTGTATTTATACAGAGACTAACTTACATACAAGTGGACTCTATTTATGAATTAGGTGACTTCTGAAGGCAATTGGTTCCACTAGATTTTAGTTAGGGGTATCAGAGTAATGGGGGCTGAATAAAAATGCACACCACACTTTTCAGATATTTGTAAAAAAATTTGAAAATTATTTATCATGTTTCTTACATTTCACAATTATGTTACACTTTGTGTTGGTCTATCACATAAAATCCCAATAAAATACATTTACGATTTTGGATGCAACGTGAAAAAATATGGAAACATTCAAGGGGTATGAATACTTTTTCAAGACACTGTAGAAACGTTAGTTATCACTGCCTGGTTTGAGGGTTAGGGATGCCTACTATATGGCTGATGTATGAGGGTTCCCTCCACAATCTTCATTTCAATGAACACTACATAGGCTACTACACTTAGGGGCCGATTTACTAAAACTGGAAAATGCTAAATCTGGTGCAGCTCAGCATAGAAACCAACCTGCTTCTAATTTCAGCTTGTTCAGTTAAGCTTTGAAAAACAAAAAATCTCAAAACTGATTGGTTTCTAAGCAGAGCAGCACCAGATTTAGCATTTTCCAGTTTTAGTAAATCGGCCCCTAAGTGTAGTTTTAATAAGGTTTTAATTTAATAAATTAACCCCTTAGTGTTAAATACAATTTACTGAACACTGTAAAACAGAGCAAGTACTTACAATGCTGGAAAACTTTTACAGGAAAGGTGGATGCACCATTCAGACAAGGTAAAAAGACACACTCTAATTCAGAGCTTACCAATCCATCTTTACTTGTTACCCATTTCAAACAGTTTATATTAACCAGATAGTATTCAGTGGGTCCTAGAATACCCCCACACTTCAGAGGTATTACTCACTGATTATTCTGACTTGTCAAAGGATTTGTGTTATTCCTATAAGAAGTGGAAAAAAAAATAGAGAGGCACTGGCAGACGCTGCTGTCACCAGTCATTTTAAGAGGAAAAAAATGGTAACTGTAATCTAAACTGCTAAGGAAGCACCTAGAAACCAAAAACTGAACCTTTCCATCCAGATTTAAAGATAATAGAGCCACTAATATGCTTTTAAATTTCAAAATATATGTACAACTGAGGAAAATAATATATTGGAAATAAATGCAATATTTATATATATATATAAAAGGCTATTCTGTCTGTGTATTTTCTCTCTTTTCACTGGATAACATGTTATGCTTTCAGAAGCAACGCAACACACTATTTCTAGCTCATACACTATATAGTTAAAGGTTTGTGTATACCTGACACCATAATACCTAGATGAGCTTTTTACACATCACATTCCAAATCATAGGCTTGTTGCCACTAACCCTTTGCCCCTGCTTTGTGGCCATAACAGCCTTAATTCTTCTGGGAAGGCTTTCCATGAGATTTTAGAGTGTTTCTGATATTGTACGACAACAGCTGGCTCTCAGAAAGACGTCATCAGCAGTCACTTCCGGGTTCATGTGTATATATTCTGGGAGCAGCAGCAAGGTGAGCGAGATCCGTTCCAAAGTGGAGCAGAAGGCACATGTTGTGCAACAAAGGAACGCTATAACAGAAGGTGAGCAGGGACCAGGAAAAACTAGCAATGTCACACATGCTGTGCCACATAGGAACAATATAGTGGGAGGTGAGCGAGGAGCAGAACTGCAAACCAAAGGACCAGCAGAGCTGGGAGTTACTATTGAGTGGGGGATCAGCAGAGCTTGAGGTTACTACTGAACAGGAGATCAGCAGAGCTGGGGGTTACTACTGAGCAGGGGATCAGCAGAGCTGGGGGTTACTACTGAGCAGGGATCAGCAGAGCTGGGGGTATTACTGAATGGGGCATCAGCAGAGCTGGAGGTACTACTACTGAGTGGGGGGGAGGTACATTGGGAGAGCTGGGGGTACTACTGAGTGGGGCATCAGCAGAGCTGGGGGTACTACTGAGTGGGGCATCAGCAGAGCTAAGAGTACTACTGAGTGGAGCATCAACAGAGCTAGGAGTACTACTGAGCAGGTGATCTGCTGAACAAGGGTACTAATAAGCTGGGGATCTGCTGAACACTGGTACTAATGAATTGGGAATCTGCTGACTGGCGATACTACTGAGCTGGGGTTCTACTGGGCCCATTTAAAACAAATAGAAAATCAACACACACACAGGACTTTTGCCAAGCTTCATTAAAAATTAAAAAACAGCATTACCAAAGCATTGCAGAAGCATGAAAAACATATCAAAAAAGCATGTTGAAGTGGTAGGAGCTTTAATGTGTGTTGAAGTCGAAGCAAGTGTGAGTCCAAAGTCTGTTGGTCTGGGTTTCATTTGTAGGACAAACAAAAACAATTATACCTTTCAGAAGTATGCATTGGAGAGAAATAAGCAACTCTGCCCTGGTGAATTCCTTTCAATGAACTTCACAGTTAACTATTACCAGCATCATCACTTTCAATAAACCTTATGGGTAGGGTCCATCTCACTGGACAAGTAAGCAAACATGAATCATACAAAAAAAACCCTCAAATGCCCTCATAAATCCCTTCCAATTCAATATGTGTAATATTATACATTACTTAAAATTTCCACTTAACTGGAGCCTTCATTAATCAAAGAAAGACTAAAAAAAAAATGTTCTCTTGCCCAATCACTGAAGTCATACATGAACAGTTCTGATCAAATAGTAATCAATTCAACCCGAGTACAGTGACAGCACATCAAATATTCACAGCCGTTCTTATCAATGTAAATCATTCCAAGCACAGTAGGCATATTATCTATGATGAGCTTTTTTTATGAACATCATTGAAATTTACATCTTTTTACACAATTACAAACAGCAAGTAGCCTGCCAATGAATCGAGGCAGGAAGTGTGAAAAAAATAAACATTTTTTCCTGCTTCATGCAAGTCTGTTTTGCATAATTGCATTTATCGCATACAGAACGCAGAGCATCATAAGAAAATAGAATAGCTAATCAGGTCAACTCACCTTTATCTTAGACAGAAGAGCATCGATGGACAGCTCCAGGTCCTTCACCTGTTTGCTCATCTCCTGTTTGCCTTCTTTCAGTGCACTAACAACTTCATTGAATTTGTCCAGCCTAGATTTGAGTGTCTTCACCTTCATCATACCATCAATTCTACAACAAGAAGAATGACAAAATTACGATCTTGAAGGCATAGCACAAACTTGAATGGTATGTATACAACACATCAATCTTATAATATTGAGCTATCAACTTTAGCGTTGCAGGGTCAAAAGCATGTATTGCAGAGCTAATGCTGGCCATGCACTAGTCGAAAAATCGTTTGAACTCATATTCAAATAACAAACACATGGTCGTGACAGCAAACAATATCGCCATCATGTAATGACCGAATTATGAACAATAAATCTGTCAATGGACATAAATGAATCAGTGTTTTCATTTTGTCACATATACACAGTATTAACAATTTGATTTTTAATGGGCAGAAACATACTAACCTTTACATTTATTTTCTATTTGGCAAAAGTTTTCCAATCTTTTCCTTTGATTTTTCAGCTCAAAAATGTCAAAACCGATTTTCTACTTGTGCCCATTTACTGGATGAAAAATATCAGATTTTAAACGATTTTTCATCTAGTGTATGGGCATCATAATAATGGTGGCATATAGCTGCTTTTTTAAGATAGCGGTGACTGTGCTCAAGAAAAAAGGTGCAACTGCAGTCAAGGCATTGTCAGCTTTTAATTGTGTTGTTCAGCTCTAGTCATACAAGGGCTGTGGCTTGGCTATCCTTGAGAAGTAGAAAGCACTTAAAGTTGTAGTAAACTGCATTTAAAAAAAACAAAAAAACAAAAACAAAAAACAAAACTGATCCCCCTGCAAGTCATAATGTGCCAGTATGCACCGCATACATTATAACAGACTTACCTGTAAAACAGATTACTCCAGCAGTGCCCTGCCACCACTGACCAGGAATCCATCTTCACGCGGTCTTCCTTCCCGGTTGGCTGGCTCTGGCCACTTGAATGGCCAAACCGTGGGGACATTACTCCCGCGCATGCGCGGGGGAGTCACGGCTGTAGCACAGCTTTCTCAATGGACAGCATGCCATCCATTGAGAGCGCAATGTGCATGTGTCGGTGAGGTCATGGGCTGCTTTACATGTAAATATCCCCCTACCAGTGCAATATTCACGGTACATACAGGTAAGCTTTATTATAGGCTTACCTGTAGGCACAAAGCAAAAAAGGGAGTTTGCTCCCACTTTAAAATGCTGAAAGAGTAAGTCCACTTATGTTTAAAAAAATGTTAACTTTTAAATTAAAAAAAATTATAGAACACATTATTGTGCATAAATCTTGTATTGATAATAAAAATTACATTTCTAGCCCAATATGCAGCCAGCTTTTTTTTTTTTAAACTATCAACAAATTCAAAGAGTTTTCCTTGTATGTGGACATAATTCACTACAGAATGTCCTTTCCTGGAAACCTTGCTGCTTCTTTGCTATCCTCAGCAGGTTTTATATTACTACAACACTAAGAGTAATCATGTGACTATGCCACAAAGACTCTCCTATTTTGTACTTAGACTGTAGTTGGAAATGAATAGAAATCCTTTAAATTCTAGTATAAATGGCAGCAGGTTGGACAATTTCCATAGGTGCACCAAACCTAAATGCTCATTTAGGTTTGTTTGTACACTAATTTTACTGTATTAGGTTTTCTCTTTGTATCTCAGAGAAAAGCTGCTTCTTTGTCAAGTCAGTGAACACTTATGACGCAGGTATATCAGTTGACCTCTTCTATTTGACATTCAGTTTCATATTTCTTATTTGTAGCCTGGAGGATAGTTTTATTTTTATACTGTAATATTTTGCCAATATAAATGTTTCATTATTGCTTAAAGTGTCTGAAAGATTTCCAGATCTAAAAGGGTAAATGTGTAAATATCCTGGAAATATCCTGGAATTATCTGTTTCCCTTGCTTTGGTGGAAGCTGATAATGTTCAAATTAGCAGACTTATAACTATCAACCCACTGACCATTTGATTGTGAAGCTGTATTTGTGACTGAGAACACAGAATAGGAAAGTCTGGGTCTTGTGAAATGAGGCATCACCACTATCCCTACTGACAGACAATATGTGATCCAATGTAAACTGCTCATTAATCTGGGACAATTAACAGAAAGCTTTTTTTTCTGCTCTCCAGATTATAGATAGCTTGTTGTGCTGATTTTGGCTGTTTATCTGTACACTACACAGCCTTAAAGTGTTACTAAACCCACAACAGTAAAATCAGTCAATGCATGCAATAAAGCATGCTTGTTATACCCAATGTGGAACCTAAGGGGTTAATCCTCCACATTATGTACAAGACTGTTGGATCCTGACTTCTCTGATCCTTCCCCTTCTCCTACTGTCCCCAGTCTATCTGCTGATAGTACAGAGCTCTAGGAGTCACTATGCACATGCTCAATTTAGTGTGTACGGCTAGATAGTTTGTTTTGTCTTTGAGAGGGTGCATGTGATCAGAACAGGGCAAATCAGCACTGTCCAGATAGAGGGTCAGGGGTTATGCAGCCTCATAGGACAGTCAGAGCAGAATGAAAAATCCTCCTATAGGCTTTAACCAGTGCTCAGCTAGACACTGACAGAAGTCACAAGACTGCTATATAATGCTGATGAGAAAAGGTATTTAGCAGTTTATATTTACTAAACTAATTTCATTTCCATGTTTTGTGTACTGTGGGAGATCAGATATAGTGACTGTAGGGCCCTGGGTTTAGTAACACTTTAAGGGATGCTATGCTGGCAGAACACTAGACATTAAATAACAGTCTAAATCAATAGTTCCCAACACAAAGCTCCCAATGGTCCTGGATTTGAAGTGACTGTCCTGCTTTTGGAACAAAGTCCCCGTCTCTCTTTCTTTCTCCTTTGCCCTCATTTTGGTCTGATGTTTATACCTGAATACAAAAAATGCACTATTCATCTATCAACTAAACTTTTCATGCAGTGCTTAAATTTGCTGCATTTATAAATTTCAAAAGCCACTAAAAAGTAGTAGTGGTACAAAAAGCACTTGTAGGTTTAACCAATTCATTTTTGTATATTAAATTGTCTTTAAATTGTGGCGTTTGTAAGTTTCAAAAGCCAGTAAAAAGTAGTAGTGGTAAAAAAAGCAAGAAGCCATTTCTTTCTAAGGTAGAGTTGGAAAAATCTCATTCAGTCTACTGTTTATTAGGCAGGCCCGATTCCCCCATCCCTCCTGCTGAGAGAAGACAGTGAATAATGCTAGCGGCTACAACATCCACTAGCAATAATCGCATGTAGAATCCAGTAGGCTGGTTGTACCCAAGTTCATCGATTGATCAACCTGGGTACATTCAGCCTGCCCATATATGGTTCAAATTGTGAATGGTTCCTGCTGAACCAGCCGAAATTCAAACCATCTATGGCTGGGTTTACTCCGAAAAAGGCTCAACAAGGGGTGCCTGTCATGACCAGCTAGGGACTACAAGGATTCCCTATGATTCCCCTGATTGTAAATGGCTGGATTGGTGATCATTGTTTAATAACGACAGCCATCTTAAGGCTGTATCATACAACCCGACTTAAAACAAACCTTGCAAAGAATTCCTCATTGTTAGAAGCATTTTTAACAAATGAAAAAAAAAAAAGACACATGCTACAGACAGACATACTTGTAGGTATAGTTTCACGCCACATGGATATAAATTAGTATGGCAATGGCTCCTATCATATCTTCATGGTGGCAAGTGGCATTAAGTAATTAAAAGCTGAACTCCAGCTTTAGTCTTAGGGCTCATGTACACGGGGCATTTGGAAACTCTTCTGAATGATGAAAACTGATTGTTGGAAAACGTAGGTTAAAAAACGTCAGTTTAACCGCGTTTGCATACCGCATTTATGCGCGTTTGCGTTTAGAAGAGTTTTTAAACGATAACCCCAGGAGACCTTCCCAAATGCCCAGAATGCACTGAAAAAAAGTAAAAAAATTAACTATTTCAGACATTTTGAGAGGAATACAGAGAGCAGAAGCAGAGAGAGCAGTATGTGTTGAGATGACCTGTCTTTTCTGGTTGTAATCACTATGGATCCCATCATGAGCATAATGTGGCGCGTTCTACCATTTTTTCCTTCACGCGAAACCAGTAACTGACTGCGCTGGTGTACTAGGTCCATTTGAATACATGGAAAACGCTTTGCATGCATCTCTGATGATGAAAAAAAGGCTCTGGACAGCATCTGGACAAGGAACAGTTAAAAAAAAAATGCTTCTAAACACAAATGCTTATAAACGCGGTTAACCGCGTTTACAAGCGTTTGAAATGCAAGTAAAATCTACTCCTGAACGCAAGTTTGGTGCGTTAAAAAAAAAATGACAGTAAACTCAACTGCCTGTAAACGACAAAGTGTACATGGACACATAGGAACACATTAAGGAGAGTTCAGGGGCTGCTGAAAAAAACACTAAACAGCTCCTGAACGTTAGTTTAGGAGCTGCAGTGTACATGAGCCCTTATACAGTTGTACAGGCTCCTCTTCTGTATTGAAATTGTTCTCTGGATTTCACTGCACACTGTGAGCTTCTCTCAATGTGCATTAAAGGCTGCAGCAGGCCACATCGAGCTCACCCAATTTCCTGAATAAATGATGTTCAGCATCCTGTAGCCCTTTCCTTGCCAGCCTGACCATCCCTATTCCACCCCTTTTATTCATTGTATTTCAGTTTGTTCAATCATGGAGGCTCAGCATCGCATGTGAGCTTTACCTAGGGGAATATGCGCCCGGTCTTCCAGACTGACATCCAACCATCAAAGCAAATTGATATTTACATAACTCCTCCCACATCCTACATTTTTCTTGGGAGAACAGCTGATTGGCCATGTTAAATTTTATGTTCCATGTCTATGGTTATTTAACAAAGAAATGAAACAGTGACACAGGCTGCGTTATCTCAAAGAACAGTTATAAATATTCAGGGAATAGCAGTGTGCATGACTGCAAACATTTTCAACCAAACCTAAAATTGTTCATCTTTCAGCGCATGCCATCTGAGGATTATGCCTTGCTATAATCCACAAAAAGCTATATGTTATGAGGATTGTCATGCATTCACATTTCATTGAGTTTGACACCTGTACGCATAAGCCCAAAACTGGAATGTGAGATGAATGTCTAGTACTTCATTCTCCTTTTCTTTCTTTATGAAGTAAAATAAGTCTAATGCAAGCAGTGATCAATGCAGTGCGAACTACGAAACACAAACAGCATCTGCACCAATAAAAGAAATTGTTAAAAACCTGAAAACAAGATGATGGCAGTTTCATGTTTATTTTTGTTTGTAAAAGGAAACATATAATTCAGCTTGTCGGCTGATTGGGATGAATTGCTCAATCTAGAAATCTTTGATGGCTGCCTCATTTCATGCAGGTATTGAACACCTGTTCTGGATTACAGCCCTCTACCCCCCCCCCCCCCCTTCCAAAAAAAAAAATCAATCTGTGATTGTCGGAGAATGAGTACTAGTCTCTATATCACTCAGTGAGAAAATAAGGCACACGTGACCAGAGAAAGAGAAAACAGACTTCATTTTGAATGCAGCTTCCATTCTTACCGTGGTTTGTGTTTCTTTCTGCAGAGCCACATCCGAATAGTCTTTTGCATTTTAATGCAGGCAGAAGCTCGGTACTTAATCTTGTTTTTCACTTTAAAACAAAAAAAAAAAAAACAAGAAAAGCGGTTTCAATAAAAGGTTATTAAAGGCTGACTTCACAACCACAAAATTCCAGGAAAAAAAAAAAAAAAAAAAAAAAACTGAAGCATGCTTTAGTGCAGGTAAATTAAGTATGTGCACTGTATTTCCAGGTCTACCTAAATCGATTCATTTGGGGGTTAATTCTTAAAAAAACTGGCGGAATAAAATATTATAGCAATCAGTCACAATTTTTAATTTTTCCTTAACATCAGGTGATACCTGACTGCTTGCAGTTCTCATTTTCTTTTCTGTAGCTTTAATAAATCAGTCCCTTAGTGATTTGTTGTAAAGGAGGAGGCTGTGGATAAACTTCCTTGCATAAGGGTAAAAAAATGTTTAGGTATCAGTATCGCCCCCCTCCCCTTATACTCACCTGTTCCCTCATTTGATCCAGAGCTGTGCCCATCTGCAGTGGTTCTCTTTCTTCACCCAGCACTCATAGGCTTGGCTAAGAGCAGCAGGAGCCATTACTTCCCCCTGCGGTCAGTCAAATCCTGTGATGAGGGAGTGATGGGCTGGGCAGAGCCTTGCTGTCTGTGTCAATGGATGCAGGAAGCGCAGCACGGGATTGAGCATTCAGGTTTACCACGATAGGAAGCCGCTTCCTATGATGGCACACCAAGAACAGAAGAAGCCATTTGCGAGGTCAGGCACTGATGTCAGATGAGAAGGCCTGGCTTGTAGTCTCCACTCTAATTCATTCCAAACGTGTTCTATAGGGTTGAGGTCAGGAGTCTGTGCAGGACAGCCAAGTTCCTCCACTCCATGTCTTTATGGACCTTGCATTGTGCATTGGTGCGCAGTCATGTTGGAATAGGAAGGTGCCATCCCCAAACTGTTCCCACAAAGTTGGGAGCATGAAATCATCCGAAATGTCTTGGTATGCAGACGCCTTAAGAGGTCCCTTCACTGGAATTAAGGGGCCAAGCCCAACCCCTGAAAAACAACCCCACACCATAATCCCCCCTCCACCAAACTGTACACTTGGCACAATGCAGCCAGGCAAGTATCGTTCTTCTGGCAACTGCCAAACCCAAACACGTCCATCGGATTGCCAGACCAAGAATCATGATTCGTCATTCCAGAGAACGTCTCCACTGCTCTAGAGTCCAGTGGCGGCGTGCTTTACATCACTGCATCCAAACACTTTGCATTGCACTTGGTGATGTAAGACTTGAATGCAGCTGCTCGGCCATGAGAACCCATTCCATGAAGCTCTCTATGCACTGTTGTGCTAATCTGAAGGCCACACAATGTTTGGAGGTCTTTAGCTATTGACTCTGCAGTCAGTTGGTGACTTCTGTGCACTGTGTGCTTCAGCATGCGCTGACCCCGCTCTGTCATTTTACATGGCCTACCACTTTGTGGCGGAGTTGCTGTTGTTCCCAGTTGCTTCCATTTTGTTATAATACCACTAACAGCTGACCGTGGAATATTTAGTAGCAAGGAAATTTCACAGATGGACTTATTGCACAGGTGGCAACCTATCACGGTACCACACTTGAATTCACTGAGCTCCTGAGAGCAACCTATTCTTTCATGAATGTTTGTAGAAGCAGTCTGCATGCCTAGGTGCTTCATTTTATGCACCTGTAGCCATGGAGGTGATTGGAACACCTGAATCCAAGAATTTGGAGGGGTGTCCCAATACTTCTGGCAATATAGTGTATTTTCCCTCGCAGCTTGTGTCTACTACCATTATGTGTGGTCTGAACTAGGGTTCATTAGACAAAATATTTGTGGTCAAGTCTGCTGCTAGACTGTACATGCCAATAAGCCCTCCCACTGTGCTGTCAGGCCCCACTTTGCTGGTACAGGGATTTGAAATCCTGTCGGGTTTCTCTCTCTCGTGCTGACAGTGTGGACTAGCTGGCCTCTGATTGGTTAGCGCCGTCCATGTGATAGTGCTGACTAATTAGAATCCCTGTAGTCCATACTGGCTAAGTAATAAAGACAGGTGATTAAGCCACGTTTCAGATCCCTGGAGCGGTAAAGCGTTTTTTTTCAGTGTCTGACAGTGAGGGATCATGGCAATTTGGTACAGCAGGACTGGGAGGGATAGGGAGGGGGTCCAGTGTAAGGTCACCTTACAGATTTTCTGTAAAGGTGAGCCTAAACTGTAAGCACATGCTGGTGGATGGCTTGAGGCTGGGGAGGGAGCGCCACTGACCAAGAAATAGTCACAGGACAGGAGAGGGGGAAGGGTCACTGCTCAAATCCCTCTAGAGAATTGGAATTCACATATTAGAAGGCAGCAGGATTTGGGGCTCCAAGATAATAAGGGAGTATGTAGTAACTTCCAGGATGACTGCATTTTACTCATATAAACACTGGTATCTTTTGGAAAAGGTACACTTTTAGGGAAGTCCTATGCAACATTCAACACTTTTGCAATACTTAACATTTAAAAAGAGATGTACTCCCAAATTTAAAGTGAAACTAATGGGTTAATAACTCAGCTTTCCAATGGTCCATTGCCTGCGCAAGCATCTTCTCCTGTTTTCCAGTTTTCACCTATGTTCATTGGTCTGTGCGGGAGGACACCACACCTGCACATGCACAGGAGATAGCCATTCCAACACACAGGGTTTGGTCTGGCTGCTGTAAGCTGAGCTCCACATGCACTGCTCAGTTTATATTCTGGGGATCACTCTGAGTAAACAGCTAGAAGTAGTTTATTGCAGAACAGACCTTACCTGCAATAAAAAATCTGCTCACAGTATGTAACAGTGGAACTTTTGCTCTGCTTTAACCACTCCTGAGGTTTTATCCCCCTTCCTGATCAGGCCATTTTTTGCGTTATGGCGCTGCGTTACTTTAACTGACAATTGTGTGGTCATGCAACGCTGAACCCAAATGAAATTTATATCTTTTTTTCCCCTCACAAATAGAGCTTTTATTCGGTGGTATTTGATTGCCTGTGCGGTTTTTATTTTTTACGCTATGAACAAAAAAAGACCAACAATTTTGTATAAAAAAAAAAAACAATATTTTTGACTTTTTGCTATTAAACATGTCCAATAAAAGATTTTAAAAAATCAAATTTCGTCATAAATTTAGGCCAAAATATATTCTGCTACATGTCTCTGCTAAAAAAAAAAATCCCAATACGTGTAAATTAATTGGTTTACGTGAAATTTATAGCGTTTACAAATGGCTGTATATATATACTGGAATTAGTTTTTTTTTCCTCCTAGTAATGGTGGCGATCAGTGACTTATAGCGGGACTGTGACGGGCATTCTGACACTGGGGGGAACTGACTTGGTGTCACTGACATCCCCAGTGACACCAATACAGTGATCAGTGCTAATAAAAAGCACTGACACTGTACTAAGCACTGGCAGGAAGGAGTTAAAATCTGGCGCGATCAAATGGTTAACTGTGTGCTGTTTTACAGTGTGCTGTGCGTGTGCTTTCCGCTGTAAGCACACTGCTTTGTATGGCTCTGCTATGCAGACCCATACAAAGCAGTGTGCAGGAGCTGACAGGGGAGAGAAATGTATTGTTTACGAACAGTTCTCTCCCTCATCAGTAATACACCAAGTATTACTCAGCATGTACAGACTGGAAAGAGGAAATGTAAAGGGGAGACATGATTGAACCCTTTAAATACATCAAGGGGATAAGGTTCAGCATGGTAGAATTTTAAATACAAAGTCAAGATCGAGAACACAAGGGAGATCACCTCAAGCTAGCAGGAGGAATGTTCAGAACAAATCTTAGAATGTATTATTATACCGAAAGAGTAGCCGATGCTTAGAATATACTTCCAGCAGAGGTATCAGTCAGTTAACAGTAAGTGGTTTCAAACATGTTTGGGACAAACACAGATCAATACTCAGACAATAAAGTTTAAGAAAAAAAAAATTATATATATATATATATATATATATATATATATATATATATATAAATTTTCTGCTGTCACTCTTCTATTTTTCTATGTTTCTAACTAACAACAAAGTCTCAAGATATCACTAAATATACATTGGTACATTGTTCATTTATAATCTTGTAGAAGAGGGCATACATTATATGGCTAATGCCCAGGCCCAATCTAACAGCATGATATAATTGCAGGAATGGAACTTATGGCTGTAAAGTACCATAGACTAGTCAAAATAATGTTTAAATAAATACAGTCAGGAGAAATAATCCAATCTGGAGCCGAGAGAACCTGCAGCAGCTGTGCATGGCAACCAATTAGTATCATATTTTTCATTTTCAAAGCCTAAAGTGGAACTAAACCTTCCTATCATCAGTCAAGGAATCTGCCATCTTGGCCTCTGTTTAATCTTCAACTGCCATGATGCTGCACGTGATCAGATATGACAACAGCCATTTGATCGTGGTTTGACAGTTTAGTTGAGAGCACAAGCAAAAGTGACATTACATTCCCTTGTCTCCTCCTCTCCTGCTTGTCTTCAGGATTTCTCCAGAGCTCCTCCCATCCTCTGGAACTCTCTACCCCAATCTGTCCTACTATCACCTACTCTCTACACTTTTAGGCAATCCCTGAAAAACGATATCTCTTTGGGGAAGCCTATCCTGCCTTCTGCTAATAACTGAATCTTCTATTTCTCCCATCAGTTCATCCCCCACAGTTATTACCTTTTATTCCACCAGCCTCTCCATATTAGAATGTAAGCTCCCAATAGCAGGGCCCCCCTAGCCCGCTTGTGTTAAATTGTATTATTGCTGTATCATCTCCCTTTTTATTGTAAATTGCTGAGCAAACTGTTGGCGCTATATAAATCCTGTATAATAGTAATAAAAATAATGATAATGTGCTCTTAATGGTCAACTAAAATGATGAACAAGGTGACGATAGAAGCGGATTGGTTGCCATGCACAGCTACTCCAGATTCTGTGTGCTTCAGTTTTGATAAATTCCCTCTGGTATGTACTGGATGTAGTGGCAGAACTTTTTTTTTCTTGTTTTGAGTAA